AACAGCGCCCACGGCACACAACAGGACAGAACACAGCACCATTGAAGCGACTGTTCAGGAACGCTCAATAATGCCATGTAACATGACTGAAATACATAAAGCAAAAACGATTAATGGTTGGCCACCCAACGGCCGGCTTAAAAACTAACACAAAGTTGACATCTATCAATGAATTCCTAACAACAAAGCCCTATTTTGCATGCACACAAACGCCCAAAGATTTCTAAGCTAGTTGGTCGAACTTAGAGAACTGCATGCCTCACAACCGCGGGACCTCGTCATGACTACAGAGACATGGTTAAACCCCGAGATAACCGATTCTGAGATCAATTTACTCGGTATGTCGCTGCTTCGGACTGATGGAACCGGAGCGGGTCGCGGTGTGATTCTGATGTTTAGTTATCGATCACACGGAAATCCGTGCTCCCGATTCGCCTTAGTGCCGCCTTTGGTTGCGAAACAAGGACACATGTCTACTAGCCGTGATTTATTGCCCACCAAACTCAAGGTCAGAACTGGACCCCAAACTGAACCACGTTTTTCATTTTGCTTTGAACAAGTCCTACACCCACATTCTAATCGCGGGAGACTTTAACGTGCACGACCTAGAAACGCCGGCAACCGACGGTATGCAGTTTAAAGCCTGTTTGCAAGATCTTATTGCTAGCCACCGTACAACCACGTAACCTCTCCCACCAGATTTCGAACTGCTAACAAGCCGTCGATACTGGATCTTGTGCTAACTAACAAAGAACTGATGGTTGACGGGATAGTTACAAGCACACCACTGGGTCGTGGTGATCATGTTACTCTACTCCTAGACTAAATATGCTATGCGGAGTATCCTGACAAAGATGAGGATAAAGTGCATACTGTCACGCACTATAACGTGTTTTCTACGCGTGTTAAGGACACATCTTGGACTTTCTTAACCGAACGTCCCCCAGAAATCGTCTGGGACACTCTTACAAGGATGTTTAGCACACTGGTTGCGTGCGCATCGCAACAGAAGTCCTTCCAACCCAAATACAAACATAAGTAATTTCTGAGGAGCAGTACACGTGAATGTAAGTCTCGGAGGGATTTGGCATGGCGAGATCACCGGGACTGCTTGAATGCCGAAATCTGGACTGCATACGTGACACATCGTAACCGCTATGTGAAACTGATCCGCGAAGACAAAGTCAATCACCAGCAGAAGTTAATGAAGCGGTTCTGCACTAACCACAAACTCCTGCATAGGCACGTTAACGGCCTTCGGAAAGTGAAGCGGGGGGTTCTGGCACTAGTCACGGCTGATGGGTGCAAGCGATCAGCAATGGAAGCAGCTGATCTCCTACGGCTTCATTACTCCCAGACTTTCCAACAAGTATCGAGCCCAAAATTCACCTCATTTCTAATACTCCACCATCTGGTTTAGAAAACATCACCTTCACTGCGGAAGCTGTGTTGAAAAAGTTGTTATCCTAGCGTATCCACGGTTCTCCCGAAGCTGAAAACATCCGGCCAAATGCCCCGCAGACGATAGCAAGTGCTCTAGCAGCACCACTGGCTGTTTTCTATCAGCGATGTCTAGAAGAGAACGTATTCCATCGGTATGGAAGCGAGGGGTCATCACACCTATCCATAAAGGAGGTAGCCGCACTGATCCTGCCAACTGCCGTCCAATAACACCACTTTCCGTACTATTCAAAATGATGGAATCAATCATCGCAGATGCGCTGATGCAGTACTTGGAAAGCCACACCGTTATAGCTTTAGAGCAACATGGTCTTCGTCAAAGGCATTTTTGTAATACTAACCTATTAATTGCACGTAACAACTGGACTGAAGCTGTTGATGATGGTGGGAGTCGATGTAATCTACCTGGAATTTTCAAAAACAGTTGATCGCTTAGACCATCGCAATCTCCTTCAGAAGCTTCGGAACTACGGCATTGGTGACCCAATCCTGATTTGGAATGGCAGTTTTCTACCAGAACGACGGCTAGAGGTTAGAGTCCGAGAATCATTTTCTGATGCAATCAATGTGGCGTGTGGAGTACCACAAGGCTTGGTTCTTGGACCCCGTCTATTCTTGGTGTTCATTTACGATTTGGCGAGATAAATTGCTTCCGATTTCCTATTTTTCGCTGATGATATCAAGATATGGTGAAGGATCAGAGGACCGGACGACCACAAACGGCTCCAGTGCGATCTTAACACAGTGTCGAACTGGTCAGTTCAAAACGTCCTGCTATTCAAGGTACACAAATGTCGCGTTGTACAATTACGCCATAGACATAACTACACCTGTTTACCTGGGACAAAGGGATTGCAAAATTGCTCCCAGGAACGTGAACTCGGTGTGCTCGTACAGAGCGACCTTAACTGTTCAAAACAGGCTGAGATAGCTGCGAAAAGAGGCAACCAGCACGTCGGCATGCTGCGAAGGCCATTCGGGAGATATGACCCATCAATCTTCCCAAGGATGCACAATTCCTATGTGCGCCCGTACGTTGAATACGCTATCGAAGCTTGGCAACCTTGACTGAAACGCGACCTAGAAGCGATAGAGGCACCACAACGAAGAGCAACAAAGAATGTAAATGGCCTGCGCTATCACTCTTACCACCGAAGGTTGAAGTTGCTGGGAATTTTCAGCGGACGCTATCGAAGGCTGCGCGGCGATCTCATATTAGCGTATCAGATATTGAGTGACCCCAACCACGTATGCCGCCATTTGCTGAAACTTAGCCACAACATGCAGCTCAGGGGTAACTGCTTAAAGTTGAAGGAACAATATAGCCGTCTAGAGTGTCGACGGAATTACTTTTCCCTTCGGGTTTGCCAACCCTGGAACGCACTCCCAGACTCAGTTGTATCCTCTCCTACCTTGGACGCTTTCAAAAAGCGATTAGATGTTGCTCTTAGCTCCCACCATTTTGTTACCTAAACTCCTCTATTGTGGATTATGGCAAGCATGCTTTTCAACAGGATTTATGTATCAAATGGACCTAAGTGAGCGACCGTATTTTACTTTTCTCACTCCTTACATCAACGATCACTGCACCCCAGTGTCTTTCTGAACGTTTACGCTCGATAATTTTTTAATTTTACACTGATGTTAATTATCAAAGTATTCATCTCGGCAGACGTTCAGTAGATAACCCAGATATATTTTGATTTCATCATATTCACCTAACCATCCTACGGGACGTGTCAAGCATTTGCTTTTATCCCGTGATAAACCATTGTTCATTGTTCATTGCAATTTGCAGCGTCTCGTTTTGAACCATTTTAATCTCTTAGTACAACAGCGTGTTTCAAGTGAGGCGGAACAGTGCTGACTTTCATTGACAAGGTATATGTGTTTCACATAGAATAGCGATATCCGTACTTCCGCACTTCAGCGAAGCTGACGGAGCATCACCAAGACCAGCAATAAAGCAGAGGTTCATAGCGCTAAGCGATTTTCTTATTTCTGCTAGTGTCTACTGCCCGCAATGCGCTGTCTGTAAGCTGTTCTGACTGTGTGGCATGATAGACATTTCTATTGCAGTTGAAGGATGAACAAAACTGCCCGTTGAAAAGATGATGAATTGCTACGGGATTATCCGCTGACATAGAAGTAGACGTTGCGATGGACGTGATACGGTCGTTTGCGTGTCCTCCACTTCTCCTGGGAAGCTTTATAAGCTTCTTCGGCTTATTTTATTCCATGCGAACTCGATGTTCTTCATAACACCGTCTCACAGCTCGAGCAGATTCTAACTTGCAGATTACATTATGGACCTGATTTGGTATTGTGAAGTCACGGCATTTCTTATAACATATGACCAATTTGCTGATTTGTCGTTTAGCAAGGGTGCTGGAGCGAACGTACACAGTAGTGTTGGAGTGTTTCTTTAACAAAACTTAAGTGATATTATTTGAAAATTTGGTAATGTTATGACAAGATGTCAGTTGCAACGTCTGGGTCGCATGCGAGGAAGTATCTATTCCATTGCATAAACAATATTGACGTCGCAAACTTGTTACACATGGTTCACCGGTCAATAATCTCTTATCCAATAGTCATTGGGGTTCGAAGTACAAGCCACTGAGCACTGTACTACTTGCGGGACTGTTACGGGGTCCCTTGTGTTGAGTGCACCCAAGCCTCAACAGCTAGGCTCAACTCGCTGTAGTAGCTGTTTGGACTGCCAGGGAAGTCCGCGGCCAGCGTCGCGTAGACAGTTCGCGGTCAAAGAGGGTTGTGTGTGGAGCTAGTGATCTCATTAACAGTGATCGGCTGTCATTAGCACGGTTCATTCGGTGGGTCCAGGGGATAGGCACCACTGATGAGCTCACATGAGGCGAAACAACCGTTTGTTGCACTGCGGCTGACTCTGATATCACAGTTTTTACTGATCCGGATACTGGAAGTTTCCAAGTAATGCTTTCCTTCTGAGCAATGTAAACGGCGTAGGGTTTTTCCCCAAATATTCAGAGCACGAACGCGAAAAGAAGGAGTTTAAGTCGCCGTTTTGCGTCTTGCTTAGCAAAAGGAGCATGTGTGAGCTGATCCCCTTGGCCAACACAAGGCCCAGTGAATTACAGCAGATAGGTTTTAGAACCGTTGTGAATTTCTCTGGTGAGCGAGGAAAGGATCCGTGGTGTCACCCAGTTACCGGTACACTGATGCGAATGCCACTCCGTTCTATCTCTTAACCCATTTTCAAGATTGCTAACTTTAACACTCATGGATGTGCTGCCAATCTCCTTGATTGTGTTTCTGTACTACATGATTATTGTAATTCACCTAAAGGGTGACTATGCATAGCCACGTATCTCGTTGACACATTTGGAACCCTGGTTGCATCTGGTGTCTATATCTACCACGAAAAGTTTCCGGTCTGCTAGCTCTATTCACGCTTTGTTGTCCGCTGAGTTACAGTGCCACCATCCTCGTACGGACTAGAACTGAGTAACCTGCTCCTTCCAATTCCTTAACGAATTACTCATGAATCTTACGCACAGGAAACTTGGAGTACGATATTGCACTGTTCCAGCTCAAGGAAGCACCAGTATTGCGGAAAATCAATGATTTGGCTCCGCTAAGACTACCCGATTCGCGTGCTGGTGAGAAATGGCCAGCAGCTGGACAGGTAAGATTTTCCCCACATTTTTCTTACTGTCATACATCATATTTGAAACAAGACATTCGCATTATAAGTCCAAACAAAAAACCAGAAGACTCCGTTTGTGAGTGAACGTCTTCATTTCGTCAATTTTTATCAATCGCAAACATGCAACATTGACAGATAAACCACTTATAGCAGTGGAGCCAGCTTCGTTGAGTGCACTAACCGAGGTCTGGTGTCAGAATCAATGAACACAGCTTCAAGTGGTTATGCCGCCGTATGGGATCTGTGACGACGGGATCAGCTAAATCGGGAAACTGAGCTGTCTCGACATTCACAAAGCACTTACCGAAAACCAGACTACGAGTCAATCCTGTTGAGCTGTTCACGGCCCTAATGTACTACCAGCGGTTTCAAATTCGTAAGCTACTGGCGGCCATCGTTATCGAAGGCGAGCGGCCGCTTCTGTGCGTTAGAAAACAGCTGATTGTGGTCCTAAACTTGCCCCGGTAGTGCAAGCGTTTGGTCATGTACGATTTCTGATGATACTGTTTTGGTTTATCTATCAAGCTTGCATGTTTGTGATTGAGGAACATGCAGGTAATGACGAGTTCATCTCAAACTACGTCCACTGCTTTTCTTTTTAGAAATATCAGCTTTTTCTTTGACTTTGTTCATTTACGAAATACTTTTAAATTCAGCCCTAAGTTATCTGTCACTAGGGCATTGGATGAATAGATTTCGGCTGGTCTATCATAACCAACCGCAGTAGGTGTATTGGATGAAGTATGTGTATCAGTTGGTTTGGATGCAAAACAAGTTCCTATAGGTTTGATATTTGGATAATCAAGTGAACACCATACCTGCATCGTATAATTTCCGGTAGAGTAACTCACTTATAATTGTGCGCAATAAAACTACGGAGATGGGTGCTCTGTGGATGATTGCATCGAGCAGTGAATTGTCGTCTCCATCAGTAACAAAAGCCTAATTACGCCCGTTAGTTCGGTAATGAGTAGGTTTAATTCGGAAAACATAACATCAATACAACGCCTCTCTAGTCCCAACTTCAAGCCCATAAAGTACTAAGTTTTCCGGAAGCACCCGGTTCTTTACGAAGGCCTTGTTTTTCAGTCTTACACACAGACTAGGATAGGGACTTATGAGAAGCATACTCTTTGATGATGAGCCACTGTTGCTGTCAATATAATACAACACATGGGCTAGATACAAGCCTCAAGCCAGGTGACCAAGGCTGACTGGAGCAACTTCCACAAATAAGGCCAAACTGTAGTTAACCGGAATCTGCAACCTAGGAAACTGACAAGTTTTCGGGACACTAGCCGGGCCGGCGGTAGATCAGGCGGGAAGATGACCCACTCAGTTCGCAGTTCACGACACAGGTTGCCGCGCAATCCAGAGCAGTTGACGGAGCCAGTTCACCATCGCCGTACGTGTTGTGCGGTGCGGAAGTGATCGTAATTACAGTCAGGCAATGAAGGCCACTACCAGGGTTGAATCTGTCCAGCCATACGATGTGGATCTCCTCAGTGACAGACCGGCGAAGTAAGAGCACGTGACCCATAAAACGAAACGTGTTCTGTGCCTAATACACTTCCGTCTAGCAGGTTGGGTGTTTTGTTTTTTCTTGGCTGGTTTAGCAGTTCAGAGAGTAGCGGCGAGAGCAGCGTTACAACTGTGGCGACGGAGGTGGGGAAACGTTACAACAGGTCACAACAACGACACAACGGAACAAATAATACTGTCTAGGTTCGTCCTCCTACCAAAGTAAATTTAGACTGGACCTTGCCCGAGAGCAATACTTCACCCAACAACCGATTTCGAGCTTGTTCACCGTCATCAGATGAAGAAACAGAGACTACATTCGAATCGTAGGCCATTGGAATGCCAGCCGAAGCCTGCACGTCTAAGCAACCGAGTCGCTGCACTCAGAGCTTGTCAATACTGAGCTTGTCGGAACTGATGGAGCAAAATGGATTTCTGGTGTTGCCAGCCCGAGAATACTGCACTCCATATCCGGTTTCGAAACTATTGCCTCTACTCAGATAGGAATAGCGGGTAGCGATGTTAATTGGGACCTGTACTACTGCAGCCACTGGGTCACGAACGGTACTGCTTGGCACAACGGCTAATGACTAAATGGAGCGTCAGTTGAAGGTACTCAAGGCGAGTCAAGTCAAATCAAGACATTGTTTTATGCATGGGTGAATATTTAGCTACTACACACACGACCTCGTCAATGTACCAAAAAGCCAAATCATTAGAAAGGCAATACGACAAAGAACAGGTGGATAAGGACAAAAAACCCAACCAAGTTGAACGTCGACTGGTTAAGTCAAAGATGACAGAGTTAGGATCTTACAAAAAACGGGAGTAAGGGATGACGAACGAGCGGTAAGCTTGTGTGTGGACATAGATTAACTTGTACTTCTGCCTAGTAAAGGAAGTTGATAAAATTTCAGATTAGGCAGTATGTGAGGGATCACTTGTATCGGTCAGTGTCTTAAAGGCCAGCTTTTTACAAGCACTGCTGTGTGCAGAATTAAGAATGTTGGTAAAAGTAGATATCGGAACACCGCTACATCGGGCTAAGTGCGATAATGATCTGACAATTAACTTAAAATGCTTGCCCAAAAGACCGGGAATGATCACAGGGGAACAGTACGTCCATTGGGGAAGAACACAGACATTGACAAAGCGTCCAAAATAAATCATAACTCAACGTCACACCCAGATAGTTTACTGATGTGGAAGACTGTAATCCGTCGCCAGCAATACGTAACTTGTTGCACAGTGTAAGGAGCTCCTCGTACCTAGCTCTTTTGTATAAGGAAAACAGAATGTCATGGCACTTTGAAGCATTAAGTGACAGATCACGGGATTTGGACCAGCTTGTAGTCTGAATGAACAATCGACCCTTTGGTCATTGATGCGTAGAGCCGCTTCAGTTGGAGCTGGCATAGAGCTTACGTATGTAGAAAATAGAAAAAGCGACAGAATTATTCTTTGAAGGACACCTACGTTGGTGAGTAGTGTGGTGGAACATCTGCCACTGAGTAGGGTGATCAGAGTGCATTCAGCAAAATAATCACTCAGTAACTAGACAATGGGAGGATGTACTCCTTGAGTAAGTAGATCTTCCAGCAGTAATTCGCGGTTTACACAGCCAAATGCATTGTTCTAGTCAAGAAAACACACCCGAGTTGCTTTGTTCCTATTGTCAAGCGAAGACAGGACAGAATGTATGAAGTAGGCCACAGCATCTAGGGTAGACCTCGAACTACAATAGGCGAACTGGAGAGTGTCCTTAGAGCGTGTGCTGGACAGCATCTTTTCGAGAATGATTTTCTCCAGAACATTCAAAGCAACGGAAGTGCAAGCGATAGGTCGATATTTGTTGGATCCTTTTTTCGGCACTGGTGTGCTGTTCACACTTCTCCAGCAGTCGGCTATTTTGTGTTGCTGCATACACATTGTGTATATACTCTCAAGAGATGTTGCCCAACAACCGGCACATTCTTTGAGTAAGCTAGGAGATAGCATATCCGTCCCACTAGCTTTATCGGAACGTAGATGTTTCAGTAGCTTATTTACATTGCACTGTCAACAGGTGGCAATATTTCTGCAGACCCCAGAACTTGGGCACAGGAAGACTCTGGAGCTGTAGTAGCATTACATTTGTAGAACTCCTGATTCAATTTCTGTAAGTCTACATCAAAGTAGGCGGAACGTCGCATAACTCCTCTAAGCGTTTTCAGCATCCTCTAGAGTTCACGACAACTGCCGTTCCCAGACCAGATTATAAATACACTTTGTTAAGACGGTGTAGTTCTTCCTTGATACGACCTGTGAGAGATCTTACTGTGGTGCCGTAATTTTCTATAAGCGCTTTCTCCTAAAGTCGGCGTAGCCGCTTCAGGTTGGTGAAGAAAACCTGTTAGCGCGGACGTAAATAGTTTCCAAAGGACAACAGATATCAAAACAAAGTTTAAATAGCTTGTCGAATTATCACAATACCTGGATATATCAGGGCCAAACAGCAAACTAAATTCCGTCGATGCGATCATTTCGCGAAGTCTGTCGAGATTTTGTGGAGAGCACTGTCTCCACCTGACCCTTCCATCATTGCAGCGAGTGATTTGTTGGTGGTTGTTCTTGCTATAGATGACAGGTGAAACCTTGATTGTTCAGTGCTGAAAATTACCGACTGACGCCCGAGTACATACGTTGAACCACTTCACATTATTAAAAAACACCTGGTTCAAGGTTTCGTTTGACCTGGTGGGCAGATTGACGATGTTTCGCAACCCGAGAGCGGTGAGCAAAGTAATGTCACATCTATTGAAATCACCGCCGAAGATGCACAGAGAACGATATGTGTTGTGCACACCTGAGACATATCGTATATCGGTCATAAACTGAGCCATATAGTCTAGTTGGTGATTCTCTAAGAGAGTATCGGTCGGTAGTCGAGTTAAGCACGTAACTCATGGGTTCGTGGTCAGTGAAGACGGCAAAGTAGCGGCCTTCTAAGACATGTAGGAAATGAAGTAAGGATAACTAAATGGCTAAGAGTTTTCTACCGGAAGTACTGTAACGAGGTTCGGCAGATCGCAAATGTTTGGAGAAAAATGACAATGGCTACCAAGCGTCCCCAGCTTTTGTTGGAAGACCGCCCCAAATGTCGCGTCGGAAGCGTCCGTACTGAACGACAGTAGGCCCGCCGGGTCGTGGTGCGCTATAGGAGCCATGTTTGCGATAGCTTCATTCAAGGCTTAGAAGGCTACAGCAGCAAAATGGAATTTGGTGATTAGAATCAACCAAGTGTGCCAACACGGCGCTCATCACAGTTTTTCTTCCACCATTGCGTAGATTAGCTGGACAATGCTCGCGTATTCTCTCAGCCAGCCTCCTAGTAGTTCTTCCAATTTATCTTGCTCGACATGAACAAGAGAAGGAATATACACAATAAGAAGTACATGACCAGGGAAGTCTGTCTTTGAGTTGGGGCCTCACGATTGGTGTTGAAGTAAAACTTAGCCGCAAGCTCGCTGCAATCTACGCAATGGTGGAAGAAAAACTGTGATGAGCGCCGTGTTGGCACACTTGGTTGATTCTAATCACCAAAATGGAATTTGTTAAACTTCTCCCGGAGAACATCCGTCCGGAGTTGCATAAGCGTATCGTAACTAGGGCTGAAACAGCGATAAAAGTTGCTGAGGCCATGAAAGCGTCTTAGCTGTTTGAAAGAGTGAGGTTCGGGGTAGTCGATGTTGGCCCTAATTTTATCCTGGATGAGAGATATGTAGTGGTTATTAAGCTTTCACACTTTTTATTTTCTCTCATCAATTTTATCATGACATCTTTTGTACAGTTTGTTTGAATTAACGATTACAATATGCTTCTTCGTGGCTCACGCTCCGTCATGCCAATTCTTGGCTGTGCTGCTTCTGCATGCGTACGGTGCCGTGCAGTCTGCTTGCGAATCGGATATTAGACTCGGAATTATTTTCGTACGTCTATTTCCATCGTGCTCGACGTATGCCACAGGTATAGTGCAATCTAGGATTCGAGCTCAAGTGTGATTAGACTGTGAGTTGACTCTCTTCAACATTTTACGTTTACGAAGGGACTGAAATCATCCTAGTATTCTTCCGACCACTACAGATATGGTGGCCAAGAATACTGAACCTAACGGACACTTTTCTGCGTTGATCGTCACCCTGTGTTGAGGTAAACGATCAAAAACCTTTCGAACGTGGCGCAAGTGCTCCTCGCGTGAGAAGCTCGCGAGTAACATGTCTTCGAGGTAGGCATAAGGGAAGTCTAGGCCACGACAAACTTGGTCGATGAAGTACTAAAAAGTTTGCGCAGCATTCTTTAGACCAATTGGCATGTACAGAAACTAAAACAAGTCAAACGAAGTCGGAACGGCAATTTTAGAAACGTCCGCTTCGGCTACTGGAATTTGGTGGTAAGAGCGCACCAAGTGGATTTTACTGAAAATGTTTGTTCCTGCCAGACTAGCGGTGAGGTCCATGATATGTTGAATATGATAGCGATCAGGCGTGGTTACACTGTTTAGAGATGGATAATCGCCCAAAGGACGACAGTCTCCCCCATAATATTTTTCGGAACCATGTGCAAAGGTGACGCCCATTGGCTGTTGGATGTTCTTATGATATCGAGCTGGAGCATGTGATCGAATTCAACTCTTGCGGCATGTAATTTTTCGGACGCGGTTCGTCTTGGTCAGGCACTCATTGGCGGACCGCGCGGGACAATGCGATGAGCGACCTCTGTCGTGACCGGCGGAAGCTCTGCAGCTGGTCGTACCAGTCGCGGGTATTCAGACAGTAGGTTCGCATAATATGAAGGTAAAGGTAAATCGGCGATTCGGTAAACTGGACTGATTATCAGGGCGTCCGTATGAACGCCTTCGACCCCTAGTTTAGTACGGTCGTCTAAAAGTCCTTGGTGACCAGCATTAACAAGCAACCCAAAATGTCGGAGGAAGTCGATACCCATAATTACGAAGGGCACAGACGCAACCATGAAGACCCACTGAAAATCTCGGCGAAGATTTCGGTCCAGGTTCATCATGCGCTGACCCAATGAAGCTATCGGAGAACTGTTGACTGCGCTCAGGTTGTACGTAGGTTCTGAGTGCTTGTCGTTTGAGCTCGCAGAGATGACGCTGACTTCCGCTCCTGTGTCAATGAGGACCGTAATGGAAGAACGTCTGTCCTTAAAGTAAAACAAGCGATTTGTTTGGTTATTGTCGGATACCGTGGTCCTGCTAGTATGCGGGCTATTCGCTTTCCTTGTAGCGGCTGAGTCGTGCATAATACAATGAGTCCGACAATGTATAACTCATCCACTATATTGGCGGTAATACCAACAGAATACTTTGACGGATCTGGTATTCTGATAAGGTGTTCGTCCTAGTAGTTTACAACCTACATAGCAGCCTAGTCTGGAAAAGCACCAGACGATTTTCGCCCTGTTGGGGCTTGTCAGTGGTGCGCATTCCCTCAGTCCTCTAAGGAGGATCGAACCCATGATGGCTAGAGGCAGATGCCAACTAGTCAGCAGCTTTAGCCACTGAGCCATGGGGGACGTTGGCTGGGCACGTATTGTCAGATTGAAAAGGTGCAGAGAAAATACTGTGCTTTTCCGTCGAACGAGACGTACTCCGTGAAGGCACAGAGGACCCGCAAAGAACACTAGCCAAAACCTCGTCTCTCTCTGACCGTGGCCTACGCTGCTTCGAAGCCATCATTGCTGCTAGCCTGCTGCGAAGTAGCGTAATTCCCTCCTCTTTAGAGTCAGGTCGGCCTGACGAATGGCAGCAAGTATGAGACTCGGTTTTCATCGGTGAGAATACGTCACCGGAGTTACTGGTCATCTGCAGCGGAAGAAGTTCGAAGGCAACGTCTGCCTTGGTAGCTAATTATTTCAGGGGCGTATCCGAAAACATGGACAACATTACCGGCAACGGCTCTGGGAGAGGTGCAAACCACAGTTCTTTTATCCCTTCTTCGCCCAAGAATAAGGGACTAACCATGCGCTGAATTTCGCGGAGCAACTTCTATGGCTTGCGATCTCCCAGCTTGAGACCATTGAACTGTTCAAATCGTGCTCGTGCACTGAGCCGTAACTCTTCTAGAATCGCCATACTCATCGCTTCCTACTTTGTCTCATTCGATGGGCAGACTAGAATTTCCTCGACCAGCGTCACAACCGACGAACGAAGGTGTTTGAGGAGCTGATTGTACCTCGGACTCATAGCTTAAGTAGTTGGATTTTCTGGCAACTTAACAGAGAATATTAAAATATTACCTTGTGCCTATGACAAAATGTCTCTTTTCATTTCGCTACTTAGATCTTGTTAGTAGTTCAAGTTCACAAGAATCAACTGTGATGTCGCTTTGTGTTTTTTTCGTCCAACAGACTTGCATAGCTGTGGGATGGGGCTGCAGCTTCGCCGAAGGACCACCCACAATGAAAATCCAGGCGATTGAACTACCAGTACTCCCGCCAAACGTGTGCCGGAAAATGTATTCTGCCTATATTAACTTGACAACTAGTCACGAGTTTTGCGCTGGTTACCACAAAGGTAACCGTGGAATATGTCCGGTAAGTTTTCTCCGAGTAAAAATGCGAATATTATTAGAAGGGGCTAAGATGGGTTTTGCTTGATTTGCCAATCGATTTCATCAGTCATATCAATAATGCCTCAAAAGTAAGCTTCTGTTGGGTCGTTAGTATAATGTAGCTCTCTCTGATTTACGGATTAGCAATGAGTGATTCACTAACATCAGTGATAACAAAATCAAAATGCCCAAACATCACTTGGTGTCAGAAGGTGGGACCACGAATTCTTCGTGCAGCTGCGTTAGCTTCTTCTGATCTCGAGCTAAGAATATATAGTTTAAGATTGAAAAGAGTGAAGGCATACAGGAAGTTTTCCAATCGCCAGCTAGTGAAACGTGCGCGACATCTAAGTTTCTAAGGTAGTTGGAATAGATCGTATACATAGCAGGTGATCATGAGGGTCGAGTTTATTGATAGGATGCTTGCGGTTCGATCGGGACCATTCTCGAGACAAGAGCATCATAAGTTCGAACCAGATTTTGTAGCAGCACTGGGTGGTGTCAGTCAAATGTGTGGGGCGAAGCTACATCGTAGGATTCACTGAACCGAAAGTTGGACTAAGGTTCACAAAAATACTTCGCCTGAAGACAACAGAAGTGAAGCTGAATGATGGTCTAAGTATCAAAACTGGTAGGCGGCGCCCACCTCCGTGTATTCCTGTTGATGCGACTGAACACAAGACGGCGCGTGTGTAGGCACCGAGGGACTATGATGATTGTCGTGTTCGGTTCTTCAGGGAAAAGCGGTTTATTCAACAAAGCAAGCCCAGCAAAAATGACAGCATGACTAGCTTGTAGAAGCTTCATTGTAAATAACTAGATCACCTCCATAACTAACGACACTGCTACATTCATGAGATTCTTCCTTCAAATCAGTCAAACAAACTCTGTCCTATGCAGCGAAATATCAACCAATCAACCTTTAGGCGGAAACGTGTAGGCGTTCAAGCAACTGCACCGTTCGTTTACTTCGTCATGCAATACCGTCTCGTTCCTCTTATTGCACAATATCAACACATCCTTCTCTTTTCGCTACCAGCCGTATCGGGGTCGCTGAAGACCCCGGTATGCTCTACCACTCCGTGTGGTCTCTGCTGCCTTTGTTTTTGTGACCATACCGTAATGCGTCGTGTACCTTGCTTTTGGTTCAGCATCTTGTTCCCAGTGTCGCTTCAGCTGTATGCTGTTCCTTTTGACTAACTCCCCTCCAATATAAAGTTCATAAAATCTTTCTCCGAGCCTCGCGGTCATTATGCTTTTCTTTCATGGTTCTTTGACCCCCAGTATTGGTTGCCTCCGTACTGCATTGTTTACTGATTGAATAGGTAGCGCCCGGATACTGCGATCGTAATACCGTTTCTGATCTGGCATCCGTTTTCTTAAACTCCTTTGCAGTTGCTCATGCGTCAGCAAGACCGGACGTAGAAGTTAAACCGATGCATGCATTAGTGTACTTGTCCTCCTGCTGTACAAATGTTGTATTGGACTGAGACCCATGTTCCTTATTGGCGTGTTGCGAATCTCCAGTAGCATTTGATACGAGCCCTCATGAGTAGTTCTATCCTTCGACAACCTCCTCTTGGCTTGTTGTACTGCCGTCTCTACTTTTCCGTTCGACTGGCTGTGAAATGCGACTTTTGTCGATGCTGAAATTCCCGCTAGTTTGCAAAATCTGGAACGCAGCCTCTGTACACTGAGGGTCATTGTCGGTGATCAGTTCCTCCGGTATTTCGTGTCTGGCGAACTGACATCTAAGCTCAATGCTGAATACTTCCGTGACGCTAAAGGAGAGTAGATCTATCACGAAGTTTTAGCTGTAGTAGTCCACTCTGATTAAATAATAGTCTTCCTCGTTATCACAGAACAAGTGCACCTCTACTTTCTGTCATTGTCGACCTAGAACCTCATGCAGCGTTATTTGTTCCCTAGCTTGCCGAGCTTCCTGGGATCCGCAGACGGAACAGCTTAATAGTTGTTTCATGTTTGACTTGTCATCCAAGTCCAGAAAATCCGTTCGCGCTTTCTTCTAATGCCGTAGATAACATCCAAGTGGGTTCGATTAGCATGTTCCAGCGTCTACTTGCAAAGCAACGGTGGGGTCAAAATTCGATTTTCTTTGAACAACAAACCGTCACACACCATGAGTTCATCCCGAAAGTTGAAGAATGGCGTTATAAGGCCCTTTGGGTCCTGAATCAGTTTACCTATAGCTTGACATGAACCACAAAACTTTACTCTACACACTATAGAGCAAAGTATCGGGGTTCTGGCTCTTACTTAATTGTTGACGGAAGGCTATTGTACGTATCCTCGCGAGTACCGGCAGGAATAACACTTGCACTCAAGCACTATTACAATTCAAACAAAGTGGTACTTCTAATTACCTCCAGGATACAAAGGGTTAAACAGTTAGCAGCACTGACGTCCTTAGAATGTGGCTTCCGCTGCACTGTTTTGCATTTTTCGGGATCCATTCCTATTCCTTCAGATGTTAGAACATGCCTAGAAATATCGCTTCCGGCCTTCGGAGCACAAACATCACGCCAAAGCTTTGTGTGCTTTTGCACGCAACGCTGCAAAACGTGATGCAGATTGACGTCATGTTCTTGGTTGGTAGAACAGTAAGTCAGCACATTATCTGCCATCCATATTATACCGTCTAGACTGTCAACAGCTTGCAATGAACGTTTATGAAAGAGTACACGCGAGACCTTCAAAGCAAGCGGTCAACGTAGCCACCAGAACTCTCGAAGGGTGGTGCGAACATCGTTAGGAAACTGTATGCTGCATTAGATTCATGACATTCCAGAACGCCGATGATAGATCAACCCTTGTAAAGTAATTTGTCCTAGTCAAATGAGGCATGACATCTTTTGGCGTTCCTAGCGCACAGTGTTCTCTGGGTAAGTCTACATTTAATGGCTTGGGACCTCTGAGTAAACGCAAAGTACCGTTCATTTTCGTAATAATTGCGACTTGACTAACTCAGTCTGTCAGCTCCTGGAGTTCAGTAATTACGCCCGCTTATAGCAAGTTGCGTAATTCGGTGCCGCTTATCACGTAAAGTAAACGAAACCATTCTAGCTGGTAGGGCAGTCGCTTGCCTTGAAAGATCTATTGACAAATGAACGCAATCTTTGAAACTCCCCAAACCTGGGCTAAACACGGACGGATACTGCTCAATAACATCTGTTCCTGCTTGACTCGCATGCAGAAACCACCATGATTAAAATGAACAAGGCTAAGAAACTGGATGGATTCAATGCCGAGAATCGAAGTGAGCACTTGCTCCACGACCAGAAAATTTACCTAATAAGAAGATGTGACTTTAGGATTAATCACTCTGATGGCAGCCAAACCCTACGGCCGAAGTTTGGGGGCGTTCCATATGGGCAGGGAGCCTTGATTAGGTCGCAACTGAATTCCTAGTCACTTCTCCGCTGGTATTCCGTGTCTAAATAACAGCACACGATCTCGTCGCCAAATAATAACTCTGCATAAACGCAATTCCTTGATCCATTCCGCGAAACGTTGACGATTGAAAATTCAGTATCTGAGGGTGTCACAATAGAGTGCATTCAGTTTGGAAGACTGGCACCATCGACAGAAAGGGTTCCGTCCGCCACATTTGGCGGAAGTTCGGCCCCATACCAGAGATTGATCACAATCGTTCGGGTGTTACGCGACGCAGAATTTGCAAGTTTCTTGTATCTTGGTAACAGCCTTCGTAGTTTTCTCAAGCAAGTTAGATACGGCACATAGTTCTGCGACAGCTGGCAGCCGCATTTGCCATACGTCGGGTGCAGCTGACCATTCACTGTGACATTTATCAATGCATTGTTTGCGTGATAAATGCTGTTGCTGCAACAGCCGGTTGTTGATGTTTTCAACATTAGTCCTCAACACCAATCTACATCGAATAAGACTGTCAGCCATACAATTGCAAAATTACGGAAACGATCAAGCATCTTCAGGTCCGTAACATAGTTTCCGATCGATTCGTTCGGGCGTCTGCTTCGAGTGAAAGAGACAGCGCTGGTACATATCGTTTGTCCAACCCTCACAGAAATTCCCGAGCTTTCGGACGACTGTTTCCAGAGTAGCTAGGTCTTCGTCCTTTTAGTGCTGCATCGTTACCAAAATGCGGCATGCTTTATCTCCTATTGTAGGTCGAAAATTCGCCAGACGATACGATGTCGGTGGCTCATTTAGGGGTCACCATTATGAGGAAGTCGATCCACTTGATTTTCCAAATTTTCCAATCTCTGAGCAAGTTATGTTCTTCCAATTTTAATGGGGAACGTGTTTGCACGGCTGGTTGCGCTGTAATTAGCAACTGAGCATTGTTCGGCGAATTTGCCTAGACGAACTCTGACTCCATGTCGCAGAGCTCGGTTTATTCGACAATGCAAGCTCAGAAAAAGATGACAGCATGACTAGCTTGTAGTAGCCTCGACGTAAATAACTAAATCAATCCCATGACGAACGACGCTACTGCTTTCGTGGGATTCTTCCGTTGAATCAATCGTATAAACTCTCGCTCCAACGCAGCCAAATAGGAACCAGTCAGCGTATAGGCGAATATGCGTAGGCACCCAATCATCTGATTTGTTCGCTTGCGGCAAGCTAGCCGTTTGCTTCGTCATATCCATCCGTCTCGTTACTCCGATTGCATAATCCCAACACAATGATTAATCAGGACTGCATCCCGCAGAGTTCTATGCACAGTTATATGCAATGCTCTGTGCAAATCTGAGGAAGTAAGGCAGGATGGTATGCATGTGGGAACCAACGTTGATTCGAGGCCCAACCACATAGCTTCAACACGCACAGCACAAATGTAAAATCTAGTGTAACCTATGGACCACAAATCCATCGAGTGGATGATGGAACCACGCTTCCAACTAGGCGGTGTCACGAAGGAAGTGGGCCAAGTCTAATCTAACAGCGATAACAAACTCCTGCAGACGTCAACTGAGGAAATGGCGTAGTGGCGCAGAAGCGCTTTGTCAACCACCTCGTCCAACATGGCTAGAGCTGGTACGTCTGTCGGAAACACAGGTCTAGCACAAGTCTGTCAACAAGTTTCAGGCAAACCCCACGCGTCATCGGCCTAGATGCAGTTGCCGCAGGATGAGAGTACGAAACCGACTTACTTAACCAGTATGTGAACCCACATGGATTAAGGTACTTAACTGGTGACCTGCCTACTTGACAGACCAATAGCGTAGTTGTAACTAATGAACCGGACTGACGGATATAAGACTGATTTGTAAAAGAAGGTACAGTTAAGTAAACAGATGACACCGGACACCATACTCGCAGTTGCCTCAGACTGTTTTGAACAGGTGAGATCCCTCTGTGTGAGCACACCAAGGTCGTGTTCCCGGTAGCTGGTCTACAGTCTGTGTGGTCAAAGCTAATAAATGTAGTCATGCATATAGTGTAGTTTAATAGCTCGGCGTTTTTCCACATTGTATGATAAAGTGTTCTGACTTGAGGGGTCTAAAATCACTTCAAGATAGCACCTTAGTATGCATACATGACTTCTGTATTCCACTGCTTACAATTTTGATGAGAAATAAAGCACCCTACATCTCACTGACATACATATTAATGCCTGATGTAGGATGTTCCATGTGTTCACAGTTGACTGCTTGATCTCCGTTCTCCCCATTCCCCAAGGGTGACAGTGGAGGCCCACTTGCCTGCCCCGCAGAAGACGGCTCCCTACAACTGGCCGGTATTGTCTCAGCCACGCATGCAAAGCAGCCAGCTGACTATCCGGCTGTCTTCACTCGTGTGTCCTATTTCAGTGACTGGATCAGCCAAGTGATCAAGATGAATCCACCAAAAATAGAAAGAAATATATTTTCCTTTATACACGTGAAGAATTGATCCACCCTTCCACAATCATCAAATCCAACATCTCACTTGTACTGGGCATAGAGTATTCGGATCTGATCCCAAGTTCTACATCAATCACTTTGAACGAATACATAATCACATTTCTTGCCATAGAATGATCAAAATACACACATCCCTGTCAAAACTATGGTCCACTGTTTGTAACCATCTGTATGTGGTGTGTGTGAGTGGAGAGAAGGAACAAATTGATAGCTAATGATGACGTGTGCTGCACAATCTGTAGGCCTAAACAACGGGAGGCGTCCGGTGGCTTAGAGCGACAAACATCAACAACGCGGGTGTGTTTGCTCATACATCAACTAGCCTAGATATCAGAGGGATGAAATTGATGTTGCTGCTTGGTGCAACTGCTGCATTCCAAGCCACTTATCTCACACTAGCTTGTATCGAGCAAGAAGAGGCTAGGAAACGAGAATGCTAGTTTGACGATAAAGTGTCTACCACTAGGTTACTAGGCTGTGGGCGTCTGGAGTGCGAGACGGAACCATAACTGAGGCCACGAGTTAAGTTAAAATGTACCTCAGCCATGTCGGTGAATGAGACTGCGTGTACAATGCTGACATATTGTATTATGCGCGTTCAAAGCCCTGCGCTCCAGTACCGATGCTGATAAACATTTGACGGTCAATATAGCATGTTTGTGCGCGGATTGGGATAATGTAAGCGCGCCCAAGCATTGACGGTAGTTGGGACTCGAACCAAGGGCAAAGAGAGCCTAAGTCGGAACACTGGATCACCACAACACAAATCGCTAGGCGGGGATGGGTTAATTAGCATCCGAAACAATTCCCTGTGGATGCCTAACCGACCATTGTTTTGGTCGTACGAGATGGACCAAGTAAAAGGGGCTCCCACATCCTCATGACTGGTGTGCCATTGTATTGTCCGAACACGCGGCACTAGTCTAGCAGTGTGTATTGGTGAGGTGAACACAAAACCGGACAAGGTAGTTGCCAATAGCATGAAACCTCTATATGTGGTAAAGGAAAGGTGTGGAATTTTATGGGAGTTGCGTTTTTCACAAATGTTGCATGTTGTGTGAGCCAAGCGAGATAAAGTACATTCTGTTACACAAAACAAACACAAAACTCGTACCAACTCTGTGCGTACCCGCTTGTAGTCAGTTGCACACTCGACTCGGAACCTGATGCTGGTTCACTTTTTTGTGGCACATTAACAACTTCGAAGACAGTTCCGTGGTACCATGTTGCTTCGGTTTTCCAAACCTTGGATTTTACTCGGATTAGGTTGCCTCTGACCCTAATAACTATACAGACTGTCAGATTGACTAGGGTCTGCTAATCCCTCGCATCACATGGACACAAACTTTAATCCACCGGAACGTTAGTTTTCAAGATATACATATTTCAAAAGGTAGACATGAGATCAATTGAGCCTATTGCAAGGTACGACTCTATCTAAGGCAGATATATGCAATTCAATTACACATTGGATATTCCGGTTCAAGAGAAAACGTTAATGCGAACCCCCTACTACTTATAAACCTCAGTTCATATACCCGGTGATATGTGGTATTGGTTACTAGTCCAAATCAACCGGAATGGAGAAGAAACTAATCCCATTCACACTCGTATGGGCGCAGGTTCAACACATCATACTGTCACTGCAGTTGTGTTACAGCGAAGCATCAGTTAAAAGTACAAACAGAAGTGGGAAAACACAAGAACTGCATCTTCAAGCAACTGGTGCTTCACTGCTATTAAGTCGACTAATAAACGTGACAGTTGTGGCAGAATGAAGTTGCTATGCGTCTAGGTAAGAGGTAATAAAACATTAGATTTTTATTGCCATTGTCGTTGAAGAAGTCAGGAGAAAATAGCCTGTCCAGTATAAATGGGAAAGGAGAATGTATACAGTTACTAAGCTTAGGATTAAAACAAAGTGTATGTAAAAGCATTCTCAACTTGAGAGCGCAAAATGGTGCTCATCTGACTTTCACAAACGCTTAGAGGATGTTCCCCTGTATAATCACATCACCTCATCAACCAGGCACCGAACAGAAAACAAGCTATCTGTACTAGACCTCATACTTACAATTGAGGAACTCATTAGCTACAGACCGTTAATAAACACTCCAGTAGGACTACGCGATCAGCTTACCATGCATTACAACTACGTGTGTTACACTGAATTAACACGCATTATCATACGCTACAACCTCCTGGAAGACCGGATTGTGTTGACCAATTGGGACTACCTGAAAGGTGGCTGCTCTGATAAAGCCTGAATGTATTTTCTTGGCGTTTCAGCATTCTGATCGTCATTACTTCAGAATCTAAAAACTTCATTTCACCAATCCATCCAATTCATCAAAAAGTTTGAAAATGCATGTTATTACAGAATGTTGCTTGGCACAACTACAGAGCCAGTCCGGATCTCGAAACCTGGAGCGACAACGTGTCCCAGCGCAACCATTGTAATACGCTTTTCCGTGAGGATAAAATGGCTCACCAACAACCTTTGCCTTGTAAATTTGTCGGCCACAAAAAGCTCCTATATGAAAATGTTGACATCAGTTGAAGAGTGAAACACGGTATCCCCCAACTTAACACGAAGTCGAAGTGGCAGAGAGTGCTGAAGCAGCAGACAATGCTCTACGGATACTGCATACCCCGAGGTTCTAACGAGACGTCCGTCACTGCTACCTAATTACATCCACCGTCCCAATTTCAGCACGCACTAACATCGTCTTTTACTATTATAACTGTGTTGAGGAAACAGATCTCAATAGCTGAAAAATTCCCATTTAATCATTAAGAACAAGGGATCGAAGGTAAACAGTTGCTTTCGATTAATTCCTCGTCAGACCTTTACAATCATATGGGTATACTAGCAATGGGCTTAACAGTGGTTTCGATCAGTTCAAATGAAATTAGACCACGTGCCGATAAGGGGCATAAACCAGTAACAAACGTAAAAAAATAAGCGCAAATCAGGGCAAAGGTGTAGTCGAACGATCGTTCCTGGCCTACGAATCGTCCATTTTCTCCGAGCAGGGTAGTTTAAGAGCTTTGAACAGTTTCTTTTGTGAACACAAAAGCGGTTGATACAACCGAATACTGATCGCCTCGGCTGTGCGGAGGAGCAGGCCTTTCGACAGGAGTGGCGGAACCTTGTATCTTATTCGAAAGGCGAGGATTTGGTCGACTTCATGCCCACTGTCAACCAAATGAGCCATAACAGATCTCAATGCGCATCTACAGGTCATCCGGAATCGAGGACATTCACCCGATGGCGCTGAAGGTAGCAGAAACAGCGCTGGCCGACCCTCTAACGTACTTATAAGTCGTTTGGAAATCCCAAACTAACGCACAGTGATTCGCTGCATGTATTCTCGAAGGAAATAGTAGCAAGCATGGTTGAGGCTCTAGTCGCATATTTAAAGCCCTATAATATCACAGCATCTGAGCAGCACGGTTTCAACCAGCACCGATCAAGCACAAGAACCGATTGACAAGGTCGCGGCAGTTTGATGGAAGCAACCGGCAAAGACAGTGGACTTGATGTTGTTTATCTTGACTTTTTCAAAACCTTTGACTGCCTGGACCCGTCAGCATTCTGCTTCACAGACTGAAGTTGGTCATCCTGTACTTGGATAGATAAGGAATTGTCTGCAGCATCGGCAACTGCAGGTTGGAACAATAGCGCACTGGGGCAATATGGATAGAAACGAAAATGGCAGTATGAGAACCACAAGATCCTGAAAAGAAAGTATAGTGCTAACTTGAGAAGCGTTTCGGTAAGCCCACCACGGTGTTAATCCAATGACATGTAGGAAAGAGCCCACCTCGATTGCGTAGGTCGACGTTGGTTACGTAACGTTCGTCACATTACATGGTCGGACGATGGACACAAGCCACATCTCTTAATGCAGGTGGATTAGGTCAGTGTTAATACGTTTTTTAAATGCAAGTAAAGTAGGTGCGGAAACAACGCAAATTAGAGGGCATTCCATGGCAGGTAGACATTAAGAGAGTAAAACTTTTGTTGACATTCTAGCCGACTGTATGGCTTGGCGAACTTGAGCTCATGACCCCTCAAATTCGTGAGGTGACAGTTGTAGTAGTTGGTGGAGGACGTGGGTAGGGTGCCTCGAAATCTGGTAAGCTATTATTAGGTCGCCACATGGGTGCCGATGCTGACGGCTCTACAACCCTAGGGTCCTCAGCCTGTTGATATGGAAGTGCGCAGTCCGATCCGATTAAAGTCAAATGTGATATCACAAGTTATAGTTCTAGGGCCGCGTCTGTTTCTGGTGTTTAGCAATGAGCTTACGCGTCTGATCGCCTGGGATTTTCGGCTTTTCGTTGAAGATATTAAGATGTAAGTTTAAGGTATTCAGCCCAGTAGGTTACAAGCTACATAACACGGCCTAGTCCGGAAAAGCACCAGGCGCGTTTCACCCTATTAAAGCTCCTCAGTGGTGCGCATTCCCTCGGTCCCCTACTGGGGATCGAACCCCTGACCGCTAGAGGCAGATGAAAACTAGCCAGCAGCTTAAGCCACCGAGCCATGGAAGACGTTGTCTGAGCTACATAATTTGCAAGCTAACTGGGGTATAGCACCACCTATCTTCCACTGTCACTGACAGTGGTTAGCCTGGGTTCGATCCCCAGTAGGGGACCGAGGGAATGCGCACCACTGACGAGCCCCAATAGGGCGAAACGCGTCTGGTGCTTTCCCGGACTAGGCCGTGCTATGTAGCTTGTAGACTACTGGGATGAATATCTTGACATTACAAATAAAAATCCCGCTACTTAAGAGTGATATTAGGATGTGGTGGGCAATCGCCGATCAATGAGGTCACAACAAGACTTGGACAGTGTGTTTGAACAGTTAATCCGCTCCAGTTTATTTCGCCCAAGTGTAATGTGGTCCACATTCCTCAGTAATGTAACACCATCTATATACATGAAGAACACGACCTGCAGAGACTTACCCACAAGAGCAACCCTGGGTTGATTTGGGTTGTTCAGTACAATCTGAGAAAGAGTCAGTGAACGAAAACCGACAAAGTGGTATGCCGTGGAGGGCATTCGGGTGGTTTGATCCATCTGTCTGCTCGCAGAGGCGGTCTCATGTGGAATCGGCAATCTTTTCCAGCAGCTCTGGCATAAGTAAGATTTCGCAGCGCACCAGACTCCACAGCGGTGAGGCACTGAGCACGTCCACATCAACCTAAGCTGAGACACAAAGCATTACACAGCGGCCAGTATCGCACCTACGTGGCGAACTAATAATGGCCTAGCAGATTCTAAGGAACGACAACCGCGTCTGCCGCGAAAACACGAGTTCGAGAGGCCACCAGTTTAACTTTGCGATACATTGCAGTCAATCAGAATGTCGCCAAAACGTTTTCCCTTCATGTGTGTCTTAGAACCCACTACTTTATTGCATTGTTTCTGACTCCAATTTACCTGTGTTCAAAATCTCCTTGGCATTGCTCTAACTCACCTCAATTACGAAATATAGCGAGTGTATGTCGAGATACGATTTAACGTGAAATCGGTGCACCAACCAGTATTACACTATATGAACTAAGTCGTCTGTTTTATGCGTGCCCTAGTGTAAGCACTGTGTTGAATCCACCAAAAGGATTTTCAAGTTCGAAATGATTTGGAATATTGGTAGCTCGGGAGGCTTGCTCAATTGTTGTGGAGTTCTCCAAGCTGGGCAAATTGGTTGCAAATGTTTCGCCACCATTCGAGGTGGCATCTTCAGTGCGGGATCCATGGATCCATTATTGGGTTTGCTTTCTGCCAGCTACTGCAACTTAACTGCTATCAATCCCGCACTGAAGATGCCACCTCGAATGGTGGCGAAACGTTTGCAACCAAGTTGCCCAGCTCGGAGAACTCCACCACAACTGAGGATTTCCACTTCACCACTGTTTCATTTTTTATGGTTCTCATTACGGCTTGTTAAGCAATTGCTTTTTTACTCTTAATGCATCATTGGTCCACTAATAGCATGTACACCTTTCTAGAAGCGTCCCCAGCTATCAGCAATTCACAACGACGCGTGGCGGCAAACGGTTAACTGAAAGACCAAGTGTCACGTAAGGACGAACGAGGCAATAACATTAAGTAGCCATGTGAGATTAGGGCTGCGATACTCACAAATTTCAAAGAATGATGGCCTGTAAGATGACGGATAAGAGATCGCGCTTTACATTTACTGCAGAAATAAGCAGAAACAAAGGGAAAATCTTCTTGACATGAAACAAAACCTTAGCATGTATCCTAAACATGGAAAGCACCACTAGCTACTTGAACAGTTCTCGTGGGCATCAGCGAATGGGGTAAACACAGTGCTGACAGTGGCAATCAACAATTGGTGAAACAGAGCGAGTAATGACTG